CTGCTGCTGCAGTTACTGCTAGAGCTGTTCCTCCTGCTGCTGCTGCAGTTACTGCTAGAGCTGCCATTGCAGTTGTTACAATTCTTGCCATTTTCTGTGTAATTGCTAGTTCTTTCATAATTCTGGGTGTTCAATTCTGCTGATATGACTTCTTCTGTCTGGTTCCCATTTTAGATTTATGTGTTTCCTTCTTTCTTCCTTGTCCATGTGTCTGGGTGCCTATGACTGTGTGTGCGCGTTGGTCCACTCGTCCCTGTTAGTGCGGAACCCCGAGGGCAGGATCAGGCTGTACTGTAAGGGTGCCGACACGCTGCTGTTTGAGAGACTGCATCCCTGTAACCAGGACCTGCTGAACATCACCTCCGACCACCTCAATGTGAGTCATCCCCAGAATGTGCTGACCTCTCTGCCACTACAGTCACCTCCAACCCCGCTGTGTGTGGGGATTTATGGGTACGATCAACACTGATCACTTCAGCCTCAGTCATTCTCTCTGTTTATTCACATCATAACATCACCACCGGGGTAGGATCTTACCCTGATCACCTTAATCTGAGTCTTCCCCAAAATGTATTCATTCAGCCACTGGTGTTGTAGTCTGAAAATATTTTATGTGGTACAAGGGAGCCACCTGGTGGTTGACTGCCGAAATGACATTCTTTCTCTCACATTGTTATGTTTCCAAAGTAAAACTGATATTTTGCAGTGGTTTCATAGATTGTTTACTGTTTAACTTGGTTTTATCCATGTTGGGACAAAAAGACAGCGCCAGATATTTACATGCTGGAATATTTTTCTTTTGGTCTTTCTCTCACTCTGTCCGTGTGTATCTCTGCTCCTTCCTGTCTCTCTCCCTGTCTATCTTTCTCTCTCTCTACCTCTCGCTGTTGCTGTTGCTGTCTCTGTGTGTTGTTGTCTCTACCTGTCCATCTCTCTATATCTCTCTGCCTCTCACTATCGCTGTCTCTGTGTGTCTGTCTCTACCTGTCCCTCTCTGCCTCTCACTGGTTCTGTGTCTGTCTGTCTCTCCTGTCTGGGTCCCTGTCTACCGCCCCTGCCCACCCCTCGGAGCAGGAGTATGCTGTGGACGGGCTGCGCACCCTGGCGCTGGCGTACCGGGACCTGTCGGACCAGCAGTACGAGGAGTGGGCCCTGCGGCACCAGAGTGCCAGCAGGGCGGCCGACTGTCGTGAGGAGAGGCTGGCAGCCGTGTACGAGGACGTGGAGCAGGACATGATGGTAACGTCCCTCCGTTTCGCGCCCCTGTGCGCAGCCTGTCCCCCGAACTGTTCGCGTTGCCCTGCTGGTGTCGCCAGCACCCCGTACGCGTCGGTGACCTGGTGTGCGTGTGTCCGCAGCTCCTGGGAGCCACGGCGATCGAGGACAAGCTGCAGGAGGGTGTCCCCGAGACCATCGCCATCCTCACTCTGGCCAACATCAAGATCTGGGTGCTGACAGGGGACAAGCAGGGTTAGTCCGACAAGCTTGATCTGTGTCGTGCACACATCCAGGCTGCACTCTACACACACTAATCACACGCACAGCTCCGTCTCTCTCTCATCCTCCCCTTCATTTATGAGATTGATTTTTCAAATTGTCATCATCTTCCTCTTTCTCCCAACCTCTCTACATCACTTTCTCTCTTTCCTCCCTTCTTCCTTGGTCTCCCTCATCTTTGCTCTCCTTTCTCTTGTCCCTCTATCTCTCTGGTCCCTCTGTCTCAATGTGCTCTATCTCTCTCTCTCACAGAGACAGCAGTGAATATTGGATATTCGTGTAAGATGCTGACGGACGACATGAGCGAGGTGTTCATAATAAGTGGGCACACCGTGCAGAGCGTCAGGGAGGAGCTCAGGTACGGGAGACTGAGGGAAATTGAGAGTAAAACTGAGACTCTGATAAGAGATTCACTGCTACTGTCTGGGCAGTAAAGACCAGTACACTGATACTGGACTGAGAGAGAGGGACTCAACTCTACTGTCTGGGCAGTAAAGTCCAGTACACTGATACTGGACT